TCAACTTCACACATAAATATCTGTTTTTTAAACTTACCTCACTGTGTCTGAAATTTATGTCTAGTATAAAATATAAGACTAAGTTCTAAGGCAGGGATTCTTGAACAAACCTTTCGTTCCATTTTAATTTTTTTCACACATTAAGAAATATACATGGAACTAATGGTAACTCATTTTTTAAACAGTACTTTTACAGAGCTCTTTCATACACAACGTCTTAATCAATCATGGTATTTTATGGCCAGAGAAACTTTTGTCAGCTCTTTTACACAGGTGGAAAATTAGGCTCAAGGAAGTTAATGTATGCATCCAAAGTCACACAACCAGACCAGGATTCAGCTTTCTTAACTAGAAAGTCATTTCCCTCTCCACTTAAGTAAGCAGCATAAATTTTGAGAATGTAATTATTGTTGCATTCATGTAAAATATAACTTACTGAAGTACAACAGTTGTCAGTTAATTATTAAAAGAGTCATTCTATAATTTGATCACTAACTTGAAGAAATGGAGCACTTACATTTTTAATATTATACCAACACTTTCTTGAAATTTTTAATATTAAATTATATGGTAATATGGCCACTAAATAAATAAAAATGCTATGGAAAATAATGTGCATGGTCTCTTTGCTTCTTGGTGGAGGAAAAAAAATCCCTCTGTGCTCATAGATATTCTATAACTGTAGTTTCTATATACAAGATTACTGAGATAGAAAATTATATTTATATTGTTAGACTTCCTAAATTGCTATGAAATGATTTCTAAGGTATTTTCATATTAATTCAGTGCATTCTTTTTAACTGCCTGTTTTACCAATAACCATGTCCATATAATATCATTTAAAAACTTTAAGTATGACTGCATTTTACTAGCACTTTATTAGGGAAATAAGTATAGTCGGTAAAAAACTGAGATTTTCAATTTTTTTCTTAGGCACTATTCAACTCACGGTTAATATCATGAATTTCTACATTTAAAGAGTTTTAAATCATTGAGGCTTTCTCCACATGACAGCACAAGAGAAATTCAACGAATAGCTCCTTAGTATCTATTATTAAACTTGTACCACATTAAAAGTTCAAATACAAAGATGAACAAGACTTAGCACCTTTATAAGACCAAGAACCCCATGGATGGAGGATCCTGGTGGGCTACAGTCCGTGGGATCACAAAGAGTCGGACACGACTGAGTGACGAACACACACACACACACAAATGATTGGTGTGTTCGTCACTCAGTCGTGTCCCGTTCTTTGAAACCCCACAGACTGCAGCCCAGCGGGCTCCTCTGTCCATGGGATTCTCCAGGCAAGAATATTGGAGTGGCTTGCCATTCCCTTTTCCAGAGGATCTTCCCGACCTAGGGATCGAACCCTGGTCTCTTGCATTACAGGCAGATTCTTTACCATTTGAGCTACAGGGAAGTCCTTACATAAATAATTCTTAAATTCTATTCTGGGGCACAGTGAAATGACTTGGAAACAGTTGATCCTTGGTGCTTTCTTTTAAGATCTGTGAGATGGGAGCAGGGTAACCCTCACTGAAGGCCCAATTTTGACCCATTACTAAAGCAAAACCTTTCTGAGTACCCTATGAGATACCCCTTTGATGCTTTGAAAATATTATTTTTCCACTGTTCTCAAATTCTTGAATTCCTTTCTCAGGCTGGTTGACTCACTGTCTTAGTCCAATTGGACTACTACTACAAAAATATCTCAGCTGGATAGTTTATCAACAAAAGAAATTTATTTCTCATCGTTCTGGAAGATGGAAGTCTCAGATCAAGGTGCGGGCATGCTCAGGGTCTGATGAGAGCTCTCCTCTGAGTTATAGTCTTGTCATCATAGCCTCACATGGTGGAAAGGCCAGAGGGCTCCTTAGGGTTCCTTCTACAAGCACACTAATCCCATTCACGAGGGTTCCATTCCCAAGACCTACTTCTTGCCAAAGTTCCCACCTGCTAAAATCATCACACTGGAGGTTAGGATTTCCAAAATATGAATTTTGGGGGGAACACAAATATCTGGCCCATTGCACTCATGGTTGCCACAGAAATTACTGTAGCTACATGAAGCAAGTCTTTGCTGTGCCCAAGGAAAGAAGGGGGAAGGGGTAAAAAGACATTCTTCTTGATGGCCTGTTACAAATTTTCTAAGGAAAGATCATTTAAAAAAAAAACACAGAATTCCCTTTAATATCATTGCCCTTTCAAAGATGAACACTTTGATTTATTCTTATTCTGATTCATCCAAGGACATTTTCAAAGTAATGCCCCCTTTAAAGAGAATTTCTACCCTAGCTGTTGGGAAAAGTAACTCTTCTCACTTCTATGTGACTCTTGGGTATTGTTCCTTTTAATCCTTTCAGGTAGTTCTTTTCCTGTGAAGATGTTATATTGATCAGGACTCAGTCAAAGGCCCTTTACAGATCTCTGGGCTCTCACTCTTTGCAGCTTCTCCCCCTGAGGCAGTCTGTCCTGTCAATCTGGCCTCCTCAGCCCCGGACAAGGAGGAAAGATAGCAATTCTAAGTCACTAGAGAAAATCTGGTCACCTCTGCTTTACTTAAGTACATAGTGCATATGTGTAAAGATACAGATTCTGTGTGAGTTTGTTTGGACGGTCTTTTTAATTGCTTAATGATCTATAATATTCTATGATTTCATTTTGTTAGTAACTATATCAGGATTGTTAGCACACACCTATATACTCCTGGATAATAAATGTACAAAAAATATAGCTTTTGTAACATATAAATATCAGATATTTAATTATATAAAATGTAAAAACTGATTTTTCTAACTAAACTGCAAATGTAGGAAAAATGAATAAGAATGTCAAAGCTAAACAAATAACTAATTAACCACTTGAAAATATATTTAAAGTTATTGCATAAAAAGTTCTTGGGTCAAATAAGATAATTTAAATTGCAGTTTTTCAGTTTGATTATAAATGAAAAATGGTCAGGATACTACATATTAAATTCTATAAGATGTTGCCAAAATTGTAGCGCATGGCAAATTGACAGCAGAAAATACACTTCTTATTTAAAAAAGAAACAATAAATGTAATTCAAGCAGCAAACATAAGAACTTCAAAATAAAACTAAGGAAAACAAAAACAATTTAATATGGATAAAGACAGAAAGTAACAAATTATAAAATAAACAATATACAATAGATAGATCCAAAATTCTTCTTAAAAATAACAATTAGAAAAATGTAGCATATCAAATCATGTGTGCAAGTATATCCTTGTAAGAGTTTATAATATATATGGAGTTATACATTGTCACTTGAAATACACTGTGATAATTTAAAGATGTATACTATAAAATACAAGACAGCTAGGAAAACAAAAACAAAATTTTGGCTACTCAGCCAAAAGAGGAAATCAAAACATTCAACAAATCCAAAAGATGGCCAAAAAGACAAAAAGGAACAAAAACAGAAGGGACAAATTGAAAACAATAACAAGGTAGTAGAATTAGACCTAAAAATTTCAAGTTACAATAAATATAAATATTTAAATATATATATAATATATTATATACAATATAAATACGTAAATAAATATAAATACATATAAAAGTCTAAGCATTCCAAAGCAAAACAGGGATTGCTGACTAACATTTTAAAAAATATACAGATCAAATTATTAACAAGAAGCTCACTTTAAATATTTAAAGATTTAATATTTTAAAATATTTTAACAAATATTACATAGATAATAAAAGTAGAAAAAGATATATCATGCAAACTGTAAGGGTCAGAAAGCTGAATAAATACATTCTTAAGAGGTAATAAATATGTTGCTTAAATTGGGGAGAACACAGAACTCAGTTCTTTGAAAAAGAGGCAGCCCCCTGAGTAAGGTGATGTACTCTGCAAATAGGGGTGGAAAAAAGATAGATGTACATTGTAGTTAATACAAGGACATTGAGCAGGTTCTGCAGATGTTTGGGTGAGGGTAGGGTGGAGTACTGATTAGAAAATAGTAGGCAGAGGGAAATTTCAGAGTTTGAGATCTTGTTTCTTCAAGTGATGTGCTTCCAATGAGAACCAGTTTGAAGATGAACTCTCAAAACTGGGAAGTGAGATAAAATGAAGATGAAGGTTACTGGAGGAAGTAAATAAAGTGTAATATCCTGATAGTATGCATGGAGAAACAAGAAAAAGGATTAATGTCACTGATGGTAGAAGGAAAAGTTGATGACTACCTAAAATGGTATAAGTCGGCAGCATTGAGCAAGAACTATGAATGCCTTATTTGTGCATTGACAAGATAGTAACTATCAAAGAACTCTGCAAATTGTTCATTACTCTCCAGAAACAAGCTATCTACAAAGTATTAATTCACTAGTGTATACACCCAGCTTAGAACAAAAGTTCAATTATCTTTAAGTTTAATGGGTTAGTACTCATGTTGAAAAAGCATCCGGTTATTTTATCCAATGTGTCCATATAGAAGTGTAATTTAAAATTTTAAACACGTCTCTCCTCTTATGAAAGAATTCAATTCAAAGTTTCTAAAGTGAGAGGGGATTCTACGGACGCTATTAATATAATGTGAGGAACTGGAAACGATAATTCCTGAAGGATGCCAAAGGCAATTCACCTCTTTACCTTTTCTCCCAATCAATAAACACCATTTTCTTCCTGTTTTTCCCTTTCTACCAGTCCTTAAGCCCCTTTAAGGGGTGTCGATGGCCAAACAAAGAGAAGTAAAACAAAATCCCTCGTCCCTCCCGCCAGCAGCCAGCAGAGGGCACTGGTGCCAAAGGCAGCGGGATGGCCGAGGCGCTCAGCTTCCTCTGGGCGCTAACCGCTACGTGCCAGGCGAACTGAGATTGTCCCTGCGGCCAACCCGTAGTTGCCTCGCTGTCGCTGAGCAACGGGGAAATGGGCGGGATTTGCCGTGCGCGTTCGTGCGGGCTCCCTCCCAGGCGGAAGCGGAAGTGTCGGCGGCCGGCGAGTAGGAAGTGGTGATTCCTGAAGAGGAGATGGCTTCTATTGCTACACTCCCCCCGCTGCCCCCACAGTTTAAGAGCATACAGCATCATCTGAGGACGGCTCAGGAGCATGACAAGCGGGACCCTGTGGTGGCATATTACTGTGAGTCCTTCCGAGTCTCCGCCGCCCTCCTCGGCCTCCGGGCCCCCCCCTCCGCCCCCTGGTTGTTAAGGCCGGCCCCGCCTCTCTCGCTTTAGACCTGAGCTTTGACCTCTGACCTGTCTTGGGAGTCTCTTGGGGCCCCGCCCTCCTCAGGGATCCCCAAGTTGTCTGCCCCCTCCAGGCCTCAGAAAGGCAAAACTTCGAAAGTACTTTAGCGTCCACCAGCTATCCAGTCTTGTGCTTAAATGTTTTTAAACGGAATACATGGGCTCATGGATTCTGAAACTGTTCCAAAGTTTTCTCCCTGTGTGTACACAGGAGCTTTCTGTCTCCACCAGGAAATCCTGAAATTAACCTGGGTAGTTAAGTAACTGAGTTGGGGCTAAAAGGAAGGTAACTGTTCCAAAGACAGTAGTGATGTGGGCAAAAGGAAGATGACTAATTGAAAACACTGTAATGAGTGTGGGTTAATTATGACAACTTGCAGGTCCATTCATAAATAGAGAGTGGCTGCTACAGAACAAACACTTGTATTTGCCCATTTCTTCTTTTGCATTTAAACTGCTGTCTCCTAAAAATGAGAACTTTTAGCCTTGATTTTGAGTAATAAGTGAGGTTGAGACATTTGGTGACATACTGTCACTTTGGTTGACTGTGATACATATCATCTACAGTTGATGAAAAACACAGATGAAACTTGTTCACACTTTTTCCTTTGTGCTAAAGAGAATAGTTCCAGTACAGGTCATTTTATATTCCACGTTCTAACTTTGCTGCAAATAAAACAGGTGACCAAGCAACTATAGTTTGCTGAAAAGGATTTTTAACTTTGAGAAGCTGAGTATAATGTGTCCTCTATTATAGACAATATAAGGATAGCTGAAATATGGTCTGCTGTCATCCTGGCCTTAAACCAGGTGTACCCTATTTTCATTCCTCAAATGTGCAAGGCCCTTTCAAACCTCCACATTCTTCCCTTTTTTGGAATATCTACCTTTTTTCCCACTTGACCAACTCCTTAATTCAGATTCTAACTCAAATGTCACCTCTTCTGTGGGCAGTAAGAGGATTACTCTCAAGGCTTTACCTCCTCAGTTTGTTCGGATCATAACAACATTTTTGCGTTGTACTTGTTTTTCAGGTTCCTCAAGCAGGAATCATTAATCATTCATTCAGCTTGTATTTATTGAGATTTTACCTGTATGAGTATTACCAGGCACTGTGACTGCAGCATTCATGAAGCTTACATACTATGGGGTGGGGGGATTAAACAATAAAATAAGTACATTATATAGAATATTAGAAGATTGTGAAGAAAATGAAAGCTGGGAAAGAACAGGGATTACCAGGAGTATGGTGGTAGGAAGTGAGGAAGGGATTTCATTTTCAGAGTGGTCAGGGAAAGCTTCACTGAGTTCACATCTGAACAAACTTAACAGGAGTGAAAAGCAAGCTTTGCATCACCTGGGCAAGAATGCTCTCCGTAGAGGGGATAACCAGTGCAAAAGTCCTGAGGTAGGGGCTTGCTTAAAGGAGGATCAAAGTGACTATTGTAACTAGAGTGAATAGAGCAAGCAGAAAAACAATGTAATTAAAGTCAGAGAGATTATTTCTTATAACAATGAAATAGGAACCCTTGATTCTGTCTAAAAGCAGTCCCTCTTTATGGGCTCTGTATTCTATACCTTTGTTACTATCCTGGGGGACCCTTTATTTCCTGTGTCATTATCCTCCCACTTTTGCTGTTTCTTTCTAAAGTTTGCCCCGGTTCCCTTTATTTAAAAAATAAAAGGACCTCTGACAGTGATATTCCCCTAGAGTTGCAGTCCTGTCTGCCCAACCTCAAAGGTAAGCTTGAAATAGTTGTCTGTAGTTGTCTTTAGATCCTTACCTCATAGATCTTTTTCAGCCCATTGCAGTCTGGTTTTCAATCCCATTATTTCACTGAAACTGCTCTCAGCAGGCAAGAACCATGATTTTTATTGCCAAAACCAGGTGTCACTTTAAAAATACTTTTGTTATGAAGCATGTGCATGTTAAAGAACATATATAATGTGTATATGCAGTTCAAGGAATAGTAAAATGAATACTAATATACCTACCATGTTTGCAGTTATTAAGACTTTCAAATTTTTGCTGATCTGGAGACTGTGAAATGATGTCTCATTGGCGTGAAATTTGCAATTCACTGAGTCTTAATAAGGTTGAGCATCTTTTCATATGTTAATTAACCATTTGTGATTTCCTATTGAAATACATACTTATTGCTTTTGACCATTTTCTACTTCATTGTTTTAATATAGCTACTGATCTTTTGGTATTGCAAATGTCTTAAAGTTTATTTGAGAAGTTTGATTTTTGATTTTTCGTTCTATTGATGGAATCCTTTGATGTGCAAAAGTTCTTAATTTTAAAATATGACCAATTGAGTAATCTCTTCCTTATGATTTATGTTCCGATTTTCTAGGTCTTGATTTCTTTTTGTGTACCTTCTTTGAGATTTTGGCTTCCTGAGTTTGTAGATGGGTGTCTTTCATCAAATCTAGATAATTATCTACTTTTAATTATTGTTCAATTATTGTTCTCTGCTATCTCTGTTCTTTCCTGCAATTTTAATTAGACATGTGTTGCATTTTCCTCCTTTGGCTTCTTTGTCTCTTAATGCCTTGATAGTTCGTGTCCATTTTCTTTCTGTGCTGCATTCTGTGTAATTTCTCTAGGTCAGTGTTCACCTCCATATATTCTATTGTATAACCCATCTGTTGCATTTCTATTAATATTTTCATTTTTTATTTCTAGATGTTCTCTTACTTTGTTTTTAAATCAGCCTCACCATTTCTGACAATCTTTTAACTGTTCTAAAAGCACACTTATTTCTTTTAGTGCTTTAAAAATATTTGCATTTATATTTGCTGTCCGATAATTACTGTATAGGTTATATTTTAGGTCTGATTCTGCTGTATAACAAAAAATGGCTCATGACAGTTTTTTTCTTGTAACTTAGGCACTAGAACTACTAAACCAGTACTCTTCAAACTTCAGTTCAGTTCAGTCGCTCAGTCGTGTCCTACTCTTTGCGACCCCATGAATCGCAGCACACCAGGCCTCCCTGTCCGTCACAAACTCTCGAAGTTTACTCAGACTCATGCCCATCGAGTCGGTGATGCCATCCAGCCATCTCATCTTCTGTCATCCCCTTCTCCTCCTGCCCCCAGTCCCTCCCAGCATCAGGGTCTTTTCCAGTGAGGCACCTCTTCGCATGAGGTGGCCAAAGTATTGGAGTTTCAGCTTCAGCATCAGTCCTTCCAATGAACACCCAGGACTTATCTCCTTCAGGATGGACTGGTTCAAACTTCAGTGTGCAAATAATTCTACAGGAATCATTTTCACATTTCGCAACTTCTGTGTTTCTTTTCTGACAAAGTTCCTTTGGTCAAGGTGGCAAAGTAGTATGCTTCCCTTTATTTATTTATTTATTTATTTATTTTTACAATATCTTGTTCTCAATTGCCCTTCTCCTACTTTAAAGAATAAAGGCAGATTCTCCTACATCATTAGTATTTTTTTGGTGTATTGTTCTGGAGGAGAAGGTGGAAAATCCTTCAGGGTGTCCAGAAAAAAAGGACAGTTCTAACAAATTACTGGTGTTAGTGAAACCTCCATTTATTAAGCCATTGGATAAAGCTTCCTGTCTTTATATGTCTTATTTGGAAGAAAACCAGTCAGAGCGCAGAATAAGCCTTTATTTAAAAATGCTGGGCATGGGAAAGAAGGATGTCAAAGGAACATTCTGACATACAGCTTTTTATAAAGGGAGTCACCTGGAGTCATCTCCTTTCAGGAATAATTGGTCAAGAATGAATCTCAGAAGAAGGAGGAATTTTTCTTAGCTATTAGCAGCCATTGTTCAATCATTTTGGATTTTATCCAGAGGAGTGCAGAGGGGCAGTTTGCAACCAAGGTCAAGTGCAAGATGGTATGGAGCGTGTTGTCCTTGTTCTTGGGAAACATGTTCAAAACTGGCCTGTGTTGAAGTTTCAAAATGGTAAGAGTTTTCATTATATGATTTTAGCATTTTGTTCTCTGTTCCTTATTAAAGTGTCATTCCTGAGGTAAGAGCAAAAGGGGAATGCTGAAGTGGGAGTCACCTTGTTTTATTCAGGTGACAAGCTCATATCAAGGTCTGTAGGTTATCAAAATTATAGTCTTAGAATTCAGAAATGAGAAAAAGTGTGTGGGAGCATGTGTTAACATTTATTTGAATTAGAGAAGTCATATTTTTCTGAAAAAAGTAAGCCTCCAATGGCTGATTGGTTTGACTTTAGCAGTTAGTTTTGCCAATTATGTAGAATGATGGACATTCTCCTCAAATTAGGTAAATCTTCAGCTCTGAAGTGTTTTGCTTTTTTCAGAAATACACTTAAAACAAGTGATGATTCAAATATTATAACGTTTTTTTTTTCCTGCCAGAGAATGTTGAAACGAACACTATATCAGTTTTCCCAATCCTGTCTCACTCTTACAATAAAAAGAAGCCTTTGATTGAAAGCAAACGATGAGTCTTTATAAGATCTTTTCTGTATACTTCAGAGGAATTGAGAAAATGAATACTCTGATAATGGGGTGACACATTCTTTTCGAGTCTTAAAACAAATTTTGAGGCAAACCTAATTAAAATGTCAGCTAAGAAAGATTATTAAAAATGTTATTTGATGGTAAGTGATGATGTGGTTTTTAGCCTATAACCCAGAAGGAATTTAAAGAATTTGGTGGTTTTGCTGTGACAAAGCTTCCATTCTCATCTGCTGCTTTATGTTAATGAGTTTTCTCCCTTGTTAAATTCATAAAAATGAAAGCAGTAATAGAACCAATACTCTGGTTCGTTATGAGGATAAATCATGTTAATTCATAGTTAACTCATGCATTTCCAAGAAAATTTTATTTTGTATACTTAGTGATTATTAAGATAAATAAAATTCATATTGTTTTAAATGTTACAT